CTCCATGTGAACATGTCACCACCTACTGGTGGAGTGCAGAACTACAGTTAGTAATAAAATCTGTGATTTTTTTTTGCAATTGTTTTTCTTTTCTTTCCCACCTTTTAAGTTCCTTTGAAATTGTTAATTGTTGGTGTGTATAATAAAGTCTTTTGTATTTTTTTAAGTGTAAAATTTCTTAGAACAATAATTTAAGGTGCACAGTTTTTCTACCATTTTAGTAAAATAAACTCAAGCAGACAGTGAAAGTGTGCAAATTGGGTGATGAAGAGCAAAATGAAAGGTTTTAGTCATTTTTATTCAAACATAATAGTTTTTCCACAGTTTTTGGATTTAATCGGGTTGGAAGTTGTGTTCAACCAATCTTTTGGCTAAACCTACCTAATTTGGCAGCGTTTTTACCCAATCTATATTTTTACTAGGGCAAACCAATGCAAATTAGTTTGGATCCCACATCTTGACTGGACACTGAGGCCATTTAGATGCCCGTCAAAATTCTTGCGCTTCTTGAACCACTTCCTAGCGGTCATGTGGTATTACGGTAGCAAGGCCTCGGACATCATCAATTTTGGCCCCTCCTCTAAATGAATCACACCTCGACACGCTCCTTGGGGAAACGCCCCCTCTATTACTCAACACAAGCCTCGGCTCATCTCATAACATCACTAGTATTCCATAACCATTAGTGAGAGCGTTTCAGCGTTTCCCTTGGGGTTCTGTCCTCTTGATTCCTTTCCTTCTCATCCTTGTCTGTCACTGTGAAGTGGTGTTGGTAGTCCAGGAGAAGTCCTTGCTGATGTGCACTTACAGGAATTTGGTGCTGCCCGCTCTCTCTCTACAGCAGCACCATCAATGGTCAGTAATGGGTGGTCGGAGTGACTCTTGCAGAAATCCACAACAATCTCCTTGGTCTTGCTGATGATAAGCAGGAGATTGTCGCTGTACCACTTGGTCAGAAAGTTGACCTCCTCCCTGTAGTGGGTTTCATCGCCATTAGTGATGAGACCAACCAGAGTTGTCTCATCAAAAGATCTTAACACTTTCAACATAAGGAATAAAGTCACTAATAGGCATCATTCTGAATAGGGTAAGTTGAGACTCCAGTGAATAACCGTTTACAGAGAAAACTATAAATTAAATAAACCTTCCAAATAGTGGCTAGTTTATCAAAATTACTCCAAATGTTATGTCAACAAATCCTCCTGCAGAATGGAAGACTTGCTGCAACTGATGGAGCCATGAAACCCCTGTAAAAGTGACCAGTTTGGGTAGGATTTTTGGAATGGCCTAGTCAAAGTAGTATAGTCAAAGTGTCATAACCCTACATTTTAAAATAAAGAACAGACCTAGATGAAGTAGAATACATTTCCAGTCCTTTTAAAAAAAAGTCATGCTTTTTATTTATTTAAAGAAAAGTCGTGTAAGCCAGATATAATTTTATTTCTGTTTAAGACATTTCTATTTATCTTTGTTTAAAGTATTAAATCACATTGAGGTTTGTGGTTGTCATGTGGGAAAATATGGAAAAACTCCAGGGATACCTTTGCGAGGCACTGAACAGAAACAACATAATCTGCTTCCTATTTTCAGCATCACAACATTACGTCACTGAGTCAATCCAAAAGGGAAAAAAGCAAAACGACCTTGACAACAAAACAACCTCGCAGGTTTACAGTAAATAGTCAAAACTAAACCTTCTACAGTTTCTAAGAAAATCTTGGACACTCATTTTCTTATTTTATCATCCTTCACTGGGTTATGTAAAAAGAAAGCTGGGAATTTTTTTATCAGATCATCTCCCTGATGATGGGACATCATTGCAGCCCAGCTCCTTCTTCCCACGCTCTGGTTGGAAAAGACAATTAGACATCAGTATAAACTCAGAACAGCAGGATGCGTCTGTTTTCATGGTGACGTCTCAGCAAATGACAGCAGCGAAAAAAACCACAACTAGGAATTACCAACCGCTCCACCCTGTGTGTGTGATTGTAAGCAGGACATTGGAAAGTTGTGCAAACTTGTTTGAAATTTCTTGGATCCATGTTACAGTAATAATTTTTTTCACTGCATTCTTTACTGTCACATTGTACCCAGAAACACACCTATTCAGAATTGCAACACAATTTGCAAATACCTTAAACTTGGATCAATTTTGTTCTAATTCAACTTGAAATTATATTTTTATTTGGATTTCAAAAGAAAAGTTTTCATTTTAACAGTAAGAATGATTAAAACTGTAGTGGTAGCATTATGATAAGGGAATCCTTATTTTCAGCAGGGACAAGGAGGGCGATTTAAGGCTAAACATCAGTAAACAGAAGAAAACCTGTTTGATTTACATTACTGGCTTTTGCATGTGATTAAAAGCCACAACATTGTGTAAAAGTGTAAACAGATTAAACAGCTTAGATTTCATTGTCTTTATAATATTTCATATTTATTAGATCAGATGTTTTTAAACAAAGAAATTAGTTTCATAATGAATGCCCTCACCCTTTTGGACTTCGCCACAATAATTGGAAGCATATGGCATCCCAGAATGAGCTCAGTATTTGTTATATTTGGCTTTGATGTGATTCTAGGTCTTTGCAGTCTGAGGAAATAAAAAACCCCGCTTGGTGGTCCTGGAATGACACCAACAAACAGCTGCTGCCATTTAAAACATGTTGTGGAAATGGGGAATTGCAAGTCACGTATCCACCGCCAAAAAAATACTTTCATCTCCTGATCTCGCAATAAAAAAAGAGGAAATTTCTCGATTTATTTCTGTTGATCCACTCCCCTTCTGTTTCCTTCGACCGTCCCCTGATGGCTTAGATGCTCTACTTCCTGTGCACATAAATATTGACGGTCCTGCTTATCTCTGGTTAACCTCTGAGAAATCATGATGGGAAAGATTACCTATGGCTAAATATGGTTGGCTGTTTTGAAGTCTGCCTTTGGAAGTTTACTTTCAAAAGGGAAATCTAATATGGAAACGGCCTACAATAGGACATCAGAATCAGCTTTATTTGGACATGATTGTAAGCACAATAAATGGTATTTGAAAGTACTGTATCTACTTCGATTGATAATTTTTTTTATATTCATGAGCTTGAATAACTTGGAGACATTTTTACTGAAAAATAAAATTAAAAGACCCTTTTTGTTTGACTTTTTACTACTAAAACTTCATTTGATAAGCAGACTTAAACCTCAGCTGTTCAGAGTCGATGCATCCATAAGCCTGTACCCTATTTTCCTCAATTTATTTTGGGTCCCGTGCTTTTCTGCGAATGTGACATCAAGCTTTTCCATGTTTAAATCTTACAACCCAGCAAATAATGAAAGCGTTACACTAAAGATTGATTTTGTTAACATTGAGAAGCTACTTGCATCCAGTCCAACTCAGACACCAATGACAACTCCAGGTAGGGTAAAAAAAGAAAATAAAAAAAGTATCTTGTCAAGTAAGGGCACAAGTTACAAGAATGAGCATCAGGTGGCAGTATCATTAGAAATTCGGTAACAGTTCTGCACGTCTTAGATGCCTCCTTAGTATGCAGCCAAGTTCTCCGGAGTTCTGCTAATGACCTGATGATTTGACTCATGCGTGTTGAGGCAGACCCACATTTAACCCTGTAATGCCAAATGTATCATATTTGATACATACGGTTTCTGAAATGTTTTGCATCTGACACCTTTCGCATAATTTAATGGTAAAAACTTTGCTCAAAATCCTATTGTACACAATCAGATATACCTGATAACAGAGGGCAGAAGACTACACAAAAAATAATCTTGACTTATCGCATAGTAATAAATTATTAATATCAAAAAATTTTGTTTTTTCTTTTTACATATTTTGTTAAAAGGCCAAATAAGGACTTCAAACCAAAAAAAAAGTAATTTTCTGTTTTGTTCTATTCTTGGATCGGGCTTTAAAGGGTTAAAGATGCAGGACACCAGACCTTGAGAATTGGAATTTAGGGAACCCTGTTTAACCTTTGCACAAACCCATGGTAATCAAACAGCAATTTAACTCCTACTACCACTCAGGGTTGGGCTCTCTAATGTAAGACTTGGATTTGAATCCAAATTAATCAGCAAAAACAAACTTCAAACTTGACTTGAACTTGTTCCGAAAGCCTTGACATTCATACACGATTCAATAAAGACCAGGGCTGCAACTATTGATTATTTTGCAAATTGACCAATCTGTCAATTATTTTTTCAATTAATCAATTACGGTAATAATTAGAGAGTAAAGGTTCCTTAAAGAAGATTTTTTTACTAAATTAAACCAGGTAAAGCTAAAACATTTCACTTGAGTTCAGGGTAGAGAATATTGACAGATGAAAAAAACTTTTTGTTTTGTTTTATCTTAAACGCAAAATATTTATATATATCATTTTTCTTTTTTACAATTTTGATATAATGGTTGCTTTAAGTGGGTTACTCTGTCACAATGATTAATCGATTACTAAATGAGTTGATAATTATTTCAATAATTGATTAATAATACGGTTAATTGTTTCAGCCCTTTTTAAGACTTTTACTCCAAAGACTTCATTCACACAATATTTCAAGAAACTCAGGAATCAGGTCGTATTTTATATAATCAGAAGTCAAATTGGCAGCTATGTTACTTCAGGTGTGTGCAAAGACTGGAGAGGCTGATTCATGTAACGCCTATGGAAAGTTTTCATTGCGGATAAAGGATCAGCAATGCAAAGGAAATGTTTCAAGCGATGCCAAACAATATGATGGTCCAATCATAGCAGAGCCAAATTGAAAGGTGAAGGCTCAGATAGAGCAAGGCTGGACTGTAGATTTAGAAAGGAGACAAAAGAAGAAGAAAGAATCATCACTTTTTTATTTGTGTTGCGTTAAACCAATCATGGAGTGGATGTGGTTGTGATGTGGACATAAGGAAGTACCACTGGGACCGTATGGCTGGAACTTCATCGTATAAACTAGCATATGAACTGACATTGCTGCCAAATCAAGACAGAGACCAACAACTCAGATTTAGGTTGTTTTCAAATCTTATGCAAAACCAGAGCATCATTCCGGGTATTGCTGAGAATAACCATGTCTTTGTTAGAAATGAGAAGCAACTTGTTTTGGATTTTGTCTTATAGGTTATAGCTTTACAGTTTGTATCACAATTAGGGTGAAAAGCAGCATGTCTGCAGGCTGATAAAAAAAATAATAATAAAAAACATGCAGATGAGGTAACAGAATCACTAAACAGATTAGGGACCAGGCTCCAGCATGCTTGTTGTTAGCCTGGTAGGGAACGGGGTAGCTGAACAAAATAAATCACCATGGAAACTGATGTTTTAATGCTTTCATAAAACTTCAGGCTTCATTAAGCCAGGATATCCAGAAAATCCAGACTTAATATTTGTTTTGTGAAATAGGCCCAATCAAAGCAGTATATGACATATTTTCAGGTTTTCAAAAATCACACTAAATATTAGTGGCATCACTGTATCTTACTGTGGTGTTCAACAGGTGCAGGAAATGGAACCAAGGCAGCTGATGTGTTACAGCTATTGTCATCCTAAGGGCAGAATTGGTCCAACTAGAGTGCACTCTCCTCCATTAAGGGCCAGGTTTCTGTGTAGCTAGAAAAGAAGACTGAGCATTAAAATTAAATAGATGTATAAGGGGAGAAATATCAGACTGGAAACTAGATTCCATAGAGAACATCAGAAAGATAAGGTAAGATTAATAACCTAGATTTCCTCTGAGTGTTGATTGTCAGCTGTTTCCCCTCCACTGGACCAATCTTCTACCTCCTGTTGCTTCACCTTTGGTGAGGTCATCAGTAAGAACATTATCCAGGGTAGGAAAGGAGCTCCAAACTTCTGGAATCCAGACAGCTTTGCGCCTTATGGTTGTCATTATGCTAGAGACACACATGAATAACTCTGGTTAAATTGGGAATACAGCCCTCAAGAAAATAACTACAAAATAAAAAAGTCACAAAACTGTTTCAAACAGCTGAAGCTCTCCATTATAAACCTCAGAAAAATATGAAAGTGAGGTCCTGCACCCATAGGATTGTGGGCAACCGTATAGCTCCTAGCAGCTCCAGATGTTATGAGATAAGCCGAGGCTTCGAGATGTGCGTCAAATATCGAGACTTGCTTCATTTGGGGGAGGAGCCAAAATAGATGACGTATGAAGGCTCGCTACCTGCCATACAACGTGACCGCTTCGGGAAGTGGTTCAGCTGTCCCGGAACTTTGGCAGGCATTTACACAGCCTCAGTATTCGGCCAAGATGTGGGAGTTTGTAGGAGAGTTGGATAGATTTGGTGTTTTTTCCAACGAATCTGGTTGGTTAAAACTAGTTTGGTTGGATTAAACAATGTAATGATCAAAATCTGAGCAAGTCACTGATCATAGATGTAATGTATTCTAAGTAGGATTGCTTTGTAAAGATATGTCATCTACTTAGTGGCATCAGCTGTAAGAGATTTTGATCAAACACAACTAGTATTTTGGATCATGTGACTAATATGCATTCGTTGCCCTAGTGTAAAGTTTGGTAAAAACACAAAAAAAATAGATTAGTGGGTTTAACTAAAAGATTGGTTGAACACATAACAAATAACCACAAACTGTGGAAAAACCATTATGTTTAAATAACAATGACTAACACCTTTCATTTTCTCATCATTGCCCAATTTGCACAAACACTAACTGTCTGCTTGAGCTCATTTCACTAAAATGGCAAAATATTTTACACACAAAAAAAAACTTGTTAAAGATTTTCTTATACAGACCAAACATTACAATTTCAAATGAACAAGAAAAACAATATTGCAACGAAACAAAACAAAAATCACAATTATATTACAAACTGTAGTTCCGCACCCACCAGTAGGTGGTGACATGTTCACATGGAGCCTCATGAACTGTGGGGATCAAGGAAGCAATTTGGCAAAACGGTTCAATGCCTCATGAAGTTTAATCTCACCATCACTTCAAAAACAGTAATTGAAGCAAAAATCCAAAAACATAAATCAACAAAAAATGCAAAACTACTGAAAACCAGGAATACTCACAACATGGGGGCAAAGAAATTATGACAAACCAGCAAAGAGTCACTGAACAGGAGGAGAATAAATGGCAGAGAGAAACAAAGACCAGGTTAATTAGCAGATTGGGAGCAGGTGTGAACAAAGGCAAGAAGGGAGCTAGGGAAAAGGAGACTGACACAAGAGGGCAAACAGGAAATATCTAAGAACTCAAATACAATCAAAAATAACTGGAAAACAGAAAATAGAAATAAGACAAATGCAAAACTCAGAGATAAAACTTGAACAGAATCAAAACTTGACAGAAGCACTACAGACTTTTTTTATTTAGAGAAAAAAAAACAATAACAGCATACTGACAGACAGAAAATGTTATGCCTCCCTAACACAATATACCAAAAAGGAAAAATAAGCACAAAAAAAAAATAATAAAGGTTTTGCTAATTATATTGCAACAAAGGTAGTGGTATAAAATGATTGTAATGTATTTCAAAAGACTGTAAACCAAGAATATAAAAAACAGAAAACAGAGTTACAAGATGTGTGAAATAATCTATATTCTGATATAAAAAAAAAATGTTTAATTGCAGTGGCTGTATTAACATTAAGAGATCTTAAAAATTTTCATCAGCGTCCAAAAATTGGTTCATTCTTTCAAACATTTGCAAATGTGAAATTTAGAACATTCTTTAAAGTTTTTTTTTTTGTCCATTAATACTCAAGCCATATTTTATGTTTTATTTTATTTTATTTTTAAGACTTTGACACCCCACCAATTTCATTCCATAAGATTTGGGCAGCCTAAATTACAAAGAACAGATGTTTTGTAAAAAATTGTAATTTATTTTTTTACATTTTTAACCTTAAAAAGCAGTTGGAATATAGTTGATAACATTTTGGTAACGCTCAAGCAACAAAAATAAACTACATTTCTTGCTAAATTCCTTATAATTTAAGTTTTCTCCTTTGATATTTAACAAAGAAATTGACCATATTTTATTTTCCATCCATTCTTTCCTAAATATTTAATTTCGTCTCTTAGATTTACCCTGTTGTTTCATAATGGGACTTTATTTAGACTACAATTATCCTTATAACTATTTTTAAAGAAATAAAAAGCCTGCTTGTGAAAAGCTTTAAGGATAATGTAAAAATCTCAAAATGACATCCTAATTTAAATATAGAGGTCGTAGCTTTAACAAGCAATTAATAGCATCAAAATCTAGCTTTTATTCCATCTTTGAAACTTTTAACCCTGTCAACTTATATTATATGATGACCTTTATTTTTCCAAATCAAATTTAAATATGAGGCTTTTTATTTCTTTTGTAGTTTTTGTAGAAACAGTGGCAGTCAGGAGCACCCTATGCTAACTGATTTGGCGCCATATCCTAGCTCCCTAACGGATAAACACTATTCGGATAGCACTTATTATGGCGACCGTTGACTCATTTCCACAGAGGATTAAGTGTCCTTACCAATTTGAGGTATTCAGGTCGAGCTGTTTCGAGTTGTGAGGTACTTTTCAGTTTATTGTCTCTTCGGCATTTCTCTCAACCTTCTCCCCCTCTGTAGATACTCCCACAATCCACAGGTGGCGCTAATGAGCCCAATCAGATAGCAACTGCGTCTTTCCAGATGGTGCGTTCACTGTTTCGGGAAACCTGCGTAACAACAGAGTAACACCACACAGTACGTTGTTTTCTCGGCACAAATGAGTCAAAGAAGTACAGGAATCTTTTCAAATACTCTTAAGTAATGTGACGTAATAATAAAAGCATAAATTCCATCAAAGAAAAATACCCCAGAACACGGAACTGCCACTACAACATTTTATTACTGTTATGACATTCATTTGGCAAATGTAAAACTTTAATCAGACCATAACTTGATTCCATAATATTTACATTATTCGAGGGAAGAAACAGATTTTTTTTCTGCAGCCCTTCTCTGTTGTTATCCAGACATCTGGAGGATACAGATGTAAAACCCAGCCCGAAGTGGAAATTCCTGCAGCTCCTTCAATGTGGCTGTCAGCCTCCCTGATTATGTTTCCTTCACCTCTTCATACCTTGACTGAGTCCTGTTTATATGTAAATCAGCAGAGGTTTATTTTGTAGTTTAACAACGTAAATTAAGTTAATTAATTGTTGCGGCAAACGTGGAAACAGATGTGGAATAATTGATGAATGTTTCACTATTAAGTTGCACATACCTGGCCTTGAAGAAATCTCTGTGTGATGTTCCGTTTGTACCCCAGGATGCAATGTATTAGTAAATAGAAGTTCTTAAACAGTCAAAAGTGCATTATAAACAAGCTAAAAGTGCACCATTTTAATTCAACAAAATATAGATATGACATACTGAATTATAAATGCTAGTGAATAAAAAGGTAAAAAGCTTATGTTCTTCATGGTATCCTGGTGGTGACCTGCCTTCCTCTGGTCAGATTCCTTCTTCCTCCACACTTTGCTCCTTCAGTATAAACATCCAGCAAACTGGTTTATTTTTTTAGGCAAATATAAACCAAACAAACCTGCAGTTTTAAGTTAGTGTTGCAACTTCTGCATTGACTGCTGTATGCAAGCTTATAACAAAGACATAATACAAAGAAAAGCCATAGAGAAAAAATATATTGCATTAAATTTCCTGGGAATGTTACACATAGTTTTGCTTCCTTCCTTTGCAGCAAAACAAATGACCTTCTCTTAGTGTCTAAAAACCAGTTACCTAGAAAAAGCACCCAGCGACAGATAAGACCGGTGCAATTACTCAGCTTTAACGATGTTGTTCATTCCATCCAATCCATGGGGTCCGATAAGATCTTTACCGAACAAGAAAATAACAAAGAAAGAAACTAATCTTTGGAACCAACTGTGTGTGGTTGGTTGATTAAAAGTCCATAGCAGCAGTATTTTATTTTGGATGTAACGCAATAACCCTTGCACCAAAATAAATGCTTTGATCTGCTCCCCTCCACTCCCAGGTTGCTACCATCATGTTTTGATTGTGGAGATGGTGTGTTCAAGGTGATTTGTAGCTTTTTTTATTTTTATTTTTCTGCTGCACATATAATTCTGCATGCATGCCGGGAAACATCTTCCCATCTGTTGTGAAATCATTTAAAATTGACTTCTTGCATCTTTTTTTCATCAGCTACCTTTCTCGCTAACACTGGTCCTGGTTTTGTATGGAAAATGTGTCTAATTTGATTATATGACTTGAAAAAAAGTTGAAAACTTTTATTGCAAATCCTCAAGATTATGAGAACTCAAATCTTTAATTGGAATGTACAAAAAAAATATAGAGTTCTTAAGAGTTGTAAATCGGTTTGCTTTTATCCTGGTTTCATTACAAAGCACATACTGCAACGATGTTTGCAGTTCTTACCATTTTTTTTGCTAGGCCAGGAGATGGATTGAGCAGCTTTTTGGGTGAACCTCTGGAGCTTTTACAAAACAGATCTTTTATGACTGAGACTCAAAAACTTAAGGGACTTCTGGTTGTGTTACACTGGATTTAAGGGTTTAACAGTAAAGGGTGTGTGTCCCACTTTAATATTCTTGTACAGATTAAGAAGTTTAACAGAAATGTTCTGCAGGTGAAAACCATTTTGGCAAGGAGCTGCATTATTCATAGTAATCCTAAAAAAATATTAAAGCCTTTAAAACACTGATTGAGTGAGTAAACCTTGCAATAACATGGTTCTGGCTGATTTTGATTGAATAATCTCATCAGTTACGCACATTACTGAGCAGAAAGAAGTACTGGAACAGTCAGAAACATAAATCAGTCCATTGCTTTTGTCTCCAGCCCTGCAACCTGACAAGAACATTTGTTCACCATGGAGCTAAAACCATTAACTTCCAGCAGTAAAAGACCTACATACACTCTATATACAGAAAAAAAATCAGACCCAACGTGAGGTGGGCTGGTGCTCTTATCAGGGTCAGCAGACCTTCTCCCGTTCTGATCTAGAACATTAACACAGTGGGACATTCCTGCAGGACAGAGACATGGGAGGATGTTTACCTGAGAGAACATGTGGAGGCATAGAGCGAGGCACAAAGAGGAGGATGTTTTTTGTTTTACAGCAGGTTCATATAAGGCTGGACATTTCTGCGTGAAATCAAGCATGACCTAAACACACCCCAACATGCACACAGTTTAACATAATGGCCTCTCTCCTGCACATTAGGATGTTACTGGGATTGCATGCTGAAACGAGGTTTGTCTGTATAAACAGACCTTTATAAGACAAGGATCTAACAAAGGCAGGGAGCTCTGCTTGTGCCTACAGTTGTGGGAATGCATACTTATACAATACAGCCAGTGGTTATAGCCAAATCCAGTTCAGTTCATTAAAAAACAAAACCCTGAATCTTGTTTACTGTTCCGGTCTGTTTTATGGCAGCATTTTTAGGCTAAAAACTGTAATTGTTGGTTAGAATCAATAAAGGTTTTAAAAACATTATGCCAAATGTATGAATGGATTCATTTGATGCTGAGATGTTTAAATCTTAGTGTTGCCATTTTAGTTTATTCCACTGTTTATTTATCCATTTATTTAGTTTGTGGATGTAGATATTTTCTGTTAGTTTTTTTCCTTGTCTGCCACAGTTTATCTCCCTCCCTCTACCTGCATATATCCCATTCATCTGTGTCTTCTCATTTAGCCCACAGTCTGCACCTGTTTTCTCTACACTTCAAGCCCCCAGTTTGTCTACAATTGACACCGGGTTCTTTTATTGGCTTCCAATGTCCATGTCTGGAATTTTCACTTTTATTGCTTTCATTCAGCCACATGGGAAGGCTGTAAAGCATAAAGGGTATTTACATTGTCATACAACAGCATATATGTTAAATAAAAGTCTGAACTTTGACTAGGCCACTAGAACTTTTCACTTTGTATATTTTGAGGAATCCAAAAATCACTTCCCACACCCCAACACTACCACCATCACCTCTTTTCTGCCTAAAATGCTGAGTTGATTTTATATTAGATGTTATGAGTTGGATGAGTTTGTTGTTGAACTCTTGGAGTGATTTTGTTAGACTGACTGCTCATGAAAAGGTTCACTATAACCATGTTTCTTTTTACGATCTCTTAAAGGTATAGAGGACAATCTTTTATTTCCGGGTGGATCAACTCAATAAGTGGTCCTCCTAATTGTCAATCATTCTGGTGATATGTTTACGTAAGGCCGTCCTGTGCGATCGTCTCGTTAGCTATATTTGTCTGCGCATGCGCACTTTCAGGTGTGTATTTGTGGTGAGCTACAGTTTCAGACAGACGCGGTTCTTTGAAAATGGCCGATTGTCGTAAGAGAAAAATTGTCCACGAATTGTATGAAAAGAAAAAAAAGGCCTCTGAAGAGGAAGATATATCCCAGAATGCTTTGTGCGGAGAGCTCTCCTCGCAAAGCATTATGAGATTTGCTGTCACAGCGGCCCACTGTCGCCATAGGCTGTCGCTACCCAACAATAACAGAGATGGCACAGGCATTGCATGGTGAAAGAGGAGTTTTGTGACCAACGGAGCAAAAAGTAGTGATCATCTGTCCGAACGGTCAGTTAACTGAGTTTGCTATAAAGTCCACTATATAGTCCCCGCTCTATAGCCCCATTTACACTACCCTTGAAAAACCGATCCAGGCCGAGACCGGTCCGAGCTTGGATCGGTAACCAGGCCAAGCTCAGTTTTGACGACCGTTCACACGTCACACTTATCTCGGTTATCTCGACTCCTCGACTCCTCGCCTCCTAGTAACGATGTGCGGTATTACTGCTAGGATTGAAGGAGGGACTCAAGCAGCTGGTGGCGGTAATGCACCAAACGCTGTTTGTCAACCGCCGTAAAACCCAAGAAGAAGAAGACGAAGGAGGAGGGAATCAAGCAAATCAAAATGGCGGCGCCCGTCACATTCAGAAAGTTATGCTTGATTATTATTGCTGTACTTCGGTGTTTGCGGTGGGTCAGGCGAAGACGGCAACCTTGCGCGGATGTACTTGAGAAAGTCTGCTTTTGGGAAGCCGACTTTCTGGAATGGAGTGTGAATCGGCATGTTCAGCCAGTCGGCGATGACGCGTTCTGGTCATGCGCTCTTGTTATCAGAGAACCGAGCCAGGAAAAAACCGAGCCGAACCCACCTCGGGAACTGGTCTGCAGTTAGCGCGGTCCGGTTCTATCTCGGTTCAGTTCAGGTTGTTTCCGTTCACACACGACAAGTTATCTCAGTTACTGAGCTCGGACCGGTCTCGGCTCAGTTTTTTAAGGGTAGTGTAAACGGGGTATATATAGTGATTGGGGGATTTAGGGGTTACAGTAGCTTGTATGAGCTATGAGAACAGCAACTTTTAAATAGAGCGTGCACGAGGAGAAATTGGCTCGTGCACGTTTTTGCACACACATTTTTTTTAAAGTGGAGAGGACGAGTCTTTTTAAAAATTTGCAAAAATCTCCACATTACCTTTAATTGCAAACTGATTTCCTGGATTTGACAGCTCTAGAATGTATGCATCGTTTGCATAAGAGAAGCTGGCTGCCAGTCATTCAATGCCTGACTGTTATCTATTGTTGTTCCCTCTGAGAACTTCCTTGCAAAAAAAGCTTTTTCCTCTTGTAGTTTTTACTTTGCTCTTTTAAGAAATCTTTCTTGTTCCT